TATAGCAACACCTTAAAGCCACCTGTTAAAGAGTGCGCTTCTTCCAAGGATGCTAGAGCACTCTCATAACAGATTTTCATTACCATAAAACTCAATTATTCGACTTCCCTGCAGCCTATGGACGGCCTCTACTGTATAGCAACACCTTAAAGCCACCTGTTAAAGAGTGCGCTTCTGCCAAGGAAGTCGAATAATTGAGTTTTATGGTAATGAAAATCTGTTATGAGAGTGCTCTAGACTAGCATACGTGTTATAGTCACTCATCTGCATGTACAAATACATTTATACATTGTTTTATGTCAAACATGTACATAATCGTTGCTACATATTTGCCATGTATGTAATAAAATAGCTAATTTACCAGCACGATTGTAGGTGGTCAAAAAACTAGTAATTTATACCTTCAGTTGTACTCCTATTGTCACCTCCTGTCACCTGAAAAGTGTCAAAATGCTCAACTGTTAAATGCTTGCATTTACCCTAAGACGCCTCGTCTAACACTTCACCATAAAACCGCATGCAGCTGCGAACATCTGACATTTCCTGTCTTTTGGGGCTCTGTTTCAGAGACGATACTCAGCTCGTGGAGTCTCACATTCCAAAAGAAGAATCCGAGNCCCCTCACCCCTGCCTCACCTCCTCCCCTCCACCTCCTCCCCCTCACCCCTGCCTCACCTTCCTTGCATTCTGCGGCGACCTTCAGCTCTAGCTGGTCCATCTGCTGCTGCATGCCACGCACGACCTTCTTGCTCTCGCGCTTCTTCCGGCAGTACTTGACGACGACGACGACGATGGCGACGATGAGAGCCAATCCGACGCCGCTGATCGCCGCCGCCGCCCACAGCGGCAGCACCGGTCGCTCCGTGTCGTACTCGAGGTAGCCAATCACGTAGCGGCGCGTGCCGCCAACGATCACCTGCGCGAGACGAGAACGTTGAAGAAACAAGCGAACGTGGGGTCGCGGCGGGGCGCGGGGGTTCACTAACAAATGAACGTAGGTCACGGTGGAACATGTAGCGAAAGGTAGACGAGGGACAGGAGAAACAAGAGAACGCCTGCCCCTGTCCCTCCCCGTAATGCTTCTACTCCTGCTCCTCCTCCCCCCCCCCCCTATCCCTCCTCCTCCCCTTCCCTCCTTCTTTGACTCTTTCTCATTATCCTCCCTATCCTTCTCATCCTGCTCCTGCTGCTGCTGCTCCTCCTCCCCTTCCCTCCCTCCTTGACTCTTCCTCCTTATCCTCCCTATCCTTCTCCTCCTGCTCCTGCTGCTCCTTCTCCTCCTCCTCTCCCTGCCTCCTCCTACCCTTCACTTCTCTCCTCCTCCTCCTCCTCCTCCCCTTCCCTCCCCCACACGCCTCCCCCCTCGGTGACTCACAATGACTTCTGGCAGATGCTTGCGCTTGTCTCGGCGGGTCGCGCCGACAGGTGGCGCCACCGGCTCCGGCTGCTCGCCAGGCGGCACGCAGTTGATGAGGTTTGGAGCGACGGACGTGACGTTGCAGACGCGGCGCCCGATGCGGACCTCGAAGAAGTCGGCGCGGTTGCAGATCTCGCACGCATTGTCGATCTGTAACGCAGCGGCGAACACGCGCGTGACAATGTGTGACGCGCTGGTGACAATGTGTAACGCACGGGTGATAATATGTGATGCAGTGGCTTAGTGACAATCTGTGACCGCTTTTTCGGTGAC